GATGGATGTTTGGATGGATGCATGGATGGATAGATGGATGGGTGCATAGATGGCTAGATGGATGGGTGCATGGATGGATGGATGGGTAAACATGAATACAGACAGGAGACTGGGCAGACCAACAAATGAGTGGATTGATGGTCCAGTAGGGAGACTGACAAACAGCTAGAAGGATGGATAAATGAGTGGATGGAAGGTCCAATAGGCAAATAGGTAGGTAAAGAGACCAATGGTTGGATGCATGCATACATGCATTCATAGATACGTGGACGGAGGATGGAATGATGGACACACAGGTAGTTCAGTGAACTCATAGATGAGTAGATTAATGGTTCAGTGGATTGGGAGGCAGGTTGTTGGACAGATGGGTGGATGGATGGTTGGACGGATGAATGGACATATCAGCATCCATACAGATGGGTTGGTAAGTGTTTGGACAAGAAGGCAGAAGCCCTTGCTGAAGAAGCATGGGGAAGGGCTGGGCTGTCTGGCTAAGCCCATTGTTTGGTTTTCCTCTGGACAGCTGGTCACCCCCCACCCCTACCTCCCTGGCACTGCTCCTCATCACTCCCGTTGAGACAGTCAGGCTGCCGGTCACAGATCCTGGACAGTGAGATGCACGTGCTGTCTTCTTGGCACTGGAATGTGGCTCTGCAGACTGTGTGGGGACACACAAAGGAGGCAGGTGAGAGAAGCCAGAGAAGCCAGGCCGGGACCCTGTGCTGCCTGCAGAACATGTGTTATGATCCCAGATGTCTTTCTTAGCTACTCTACCCACCAAGTTTCACAGCAACCCTGTGAGGTACTGTGAGGCACCCCGTTTCATCAGTGGAAACAGAAAGGAAGTGACTTGTCCAAGGTCATCTGGCTGAGCCAGAACTTGCAGCCAGATGCTCCGGTTCCAAAAATGAGGCACCTTCCCCAGCACATCTCCCTTCCCTCCCGCTTCTCTCCCCAAGGATGTAAAATTGGGTGGGACGGGGTTGGGGGAGGCCTGGGGAGGTCACACAAGAAAAGGCTGCCCCGGTGGTGAATCGGGGGGGCCCAGAAGCCAGAACTCAGAGCGACAGGCATTATTCCAAGAGACCACCAGGGCCGGGCAGTGGGGAACATAATTCCAAGAAGATGGCAGCTGCAGTCCGAACCCCTGAGTAGAGGAGTGAAGACCGCACTCGAGGGAGGGAGACACAGGATTATCTCCTTGGCCGCCCACGCCTCGCCTGTCCCTGCACAACAGCCTTCCCCTTCCTGGTCCTCCAGCCACTGTGTTCCTTCTTGGACAGCCGGCTGGGGGCCATGACCTGATGCAGAGAAGCCCTGAGCTGGGAGTCAGGAGACCTGGGGTCCCACCTTATCCCTGCTCCTGCCCCACATGGCGGTCCAGGGGAGCCCACTTTCCCACTCTCCGCTTCCATTTTGCCACCTAGCACAGCGAAGGGAGCCCACTTCCCGGATGCCGAGAAGGGGGGGTCCGCGCGTGACTTGGAGAAGGGGGCTCGGCTCAGCATAGAGAAGAGAGGAGGGGCGGCTCACCGCAGTTCCGCTCGTCCAGGCCGTTGGGGCAGTCCTTGACCCCATCGCAGGCTGGCACACACAGGCCATTCACAGAGCAGAGGAACTCTCCAGGGCAGGCTGGACGGGGAGGGTGCCGTCAGGACGTGTCATCATGCAGACACGGGCAGACGGACACGCTGCATTCGTGTGCTCACGCACGCGCCGGTATGCACAGTGCATGAGGACATACGTGGCCAGGCACACGGACCCAGCACACGCACGGGCGTGTGTGAGAGGGTGTGTCCAGCGAACGCGCGCGCGCGCGCACACACACACACACACACACACGGTCCTTTTGTCTAGCCTCTGGGGATGGGAGGCAGGCGGAAAGAAGCTGCAGGGGCGTCGGGGGGTGCCCGCCCTGCCCCCCAGGCTGCCCCTACTCACGATCTGACTGGTTGTATAATCCGTAGTGCACCTGCACGCCGGGCCCGGTGAGTGGGATCTGGGAGGTGAAGTTCACGGTGATGCTGGCGCTGGCCACCACGGGGATCCTCTCGGCATAGGGCTGCAGGGTGCGCAGGCCACACAGCCTGGGGGCGACCGAGAGAGGCTCAGGGCCACACAGGCCGGCCCGAGGGAAGGGACAGCTTAGGTCCCCGCGCACAGACAGGGCAAGGGCAGAGCAGCCGGAGAGGAAGGGGGAGCTGCTCCCCCATCGTCCACCTCATCTGTCTTGACTTCTCCCTTGGGTGAATGCTCACCCCCACAGTCATCTTCTGGAAATCAGCCTCCGTCATCCCCCTGCTCAAAACCCTTCAGTGGCTCCCCATTCCCTGCGGGATAAAATTCAAAGCCTGGCTCCCTAGCAAGTCCGTGGCCTTCTCTGAGCCGCACGCTTTCCTGCCTTAGAAAATAAGGGAAATGGTCACCCCCGTTGACTCCAAAGCCGACAAAACTTCAGTGTGTCAGTAGAAGGAGGAGTCCTTGACTGGTCTACTGGGTGTAGACAGGAGAGGACGCTCCCCTTGTGCTCAGTGTGGAGGGGGGGCAAGGGGAAGGCAGCCGTGTGCCCCCTTCGGTCACTGTCCTGCCCACTGAGAAGCCTCCATAGCCCTGAGGGTCTCCCTGTGACTCTCTCTGGACCTGAGGGAGACACCGGTTCTGCTCCCAGGACCAATACAATAGAGTAATGCTGACGGCCATCAGCTTCTCTGTCCCACGAAGGGGGGACCATTTCCCTGGCCACAGGAGGGCCATCACATCCCTCCGGGACTCCCCCACCCCAAGATGATGCCCTCGTGCCCACAGAGCAGGTGGGAGAACTTCCACAGAGGGGTGAAGTTCTGCCCAGAGAGCAGGGAGGAATCTTCCCATCTCCAGGGATGGAGGTATGGGGGGGGCTCATCCCACCCCACGCCTGGGGGCACCTTGCCTCCCAGAGCACGTGGGCACGCTTTCACCAAGGGGAGGGGGGCAGCCCACCCCCAGAGTGACGGGGTCGCTACCCAGACAGCAGCCTAGGGTTCCCTCCCTTCGCAGGTGGGATCCCCTCCCTGAACAGCTCATGGGAACGCCCCCCACAGGGAAGGGAGCACCCTCACAGAGCAAATAGGGATGCTTTACAGATGCAGGAAACACCCAGAACACAGGTCAGAAAACATGCAGACGGAAGGGAAAGTGCCCCCCCCCCCCAGCAGAGAGGACGGGAGGAAGTCAAGATAGCAGGCGGGAATGCCCCAAAGCATGATGGGAGCATCCCACCGCAGATGCAGCCCACAGAGCAGCTCCCTTGATTTGCAGACGCCGGGTACCTCCCCGGAACTTCTAGAACATGGCAAGCCCTCCACAGTTCACCTGACTAAGCAATGAGTTCATCAGCAAACACCCGAGGAAGATGTGGGGTTGTCTTGTCTGGCCCCTCCCACATCGACAGCAACATCGCAAGGCCTCACTGCCCAGAGATTTCGAGGTTCTTGCAACAACTCCATCTCGTGACACAGGGATTGTTCTCGTCCCATTTTCTAGATGAGGCTCGGGTAGGGAACCATCGAGGTAAACCAGAATCCAGGCTGCTCAGGACCTAGGAGGATGCGCTCAGCCCGCTCTGGGGGGGCAGATGGGCACCCTGGCCGTCACTGCAACGTGAGCCCCACTTCCCGGGTTCCGCCACCGACCCGGCTTCAGGTCCGGCCTCCTCCTGCTGTCTAGTCACAGTGAATCCTCTCCTTGCCTCCAGACCAACAGGCAGTTCTCAAAGTGTGGTCCGGGGCACCTCAGGGCGGGGCGTCCAAAGTAAAAATTATGTTCATAATAATGCTCGGATGATACCCGCCACGTTCACCCGCATTCTCTCAACAAGGATGCGGGGGAATTTTCCAGATGCGGTAGCACGATGTGCTAGCGATAACGGCAGCCGGTTGAATGTGGAAGCAGATGTGTGTATCCGGTTCTGGTCTACTAATCCAGTTTAGGAGAGAGTTGCAAAAACGTGAAACGATATTTTTTCCCACCAACTGTTTTTGGTTTGGGAAAATATATATATATATTTTTTGCAAAATATGTTATTTATGTTAACATATAACGGGCTCGTTATTTTATTTTTTTTTGTTTTTATTTAAAAAAATTTTTTTAATGTTTATTTATCCTTGAGACAGAGACAGAGCGTGAACAGGGGACGGGCAGAGAGAGAGGGAGACACAGAATCGGAAAGAGGCTCCAGGTTGAGCTGTCAGCACAGAGCCTGACGTGGGGCTCGAACCCACCAACCGTGAGATCATGACCTGAGTGGAAGTGGGACGCTTGACCGACTGAGCCACCCAGGCACCACCGGGCTCGTTATTTTAAATGAATTGGTAAGTGTTTTTAAATTTTCGTACCTCTAATTTCTAATGCTGTAAATGTAGATGATATGGCCCGCATAAGAACGCTTTGGGGCGCTCAATAATTTTAAAGGGTTTAAAGGTGGAAAATTTGGAGAAGCCCGGCTCCTCCAGTCCAAGGGGACAAGACAGGGAGGAAACGCCACTAGGGGGCGCCTTCGAGCAGTCCTGGCCCTTGTCCTTTTAGAACTAAGGAAGCAAAGCAGGTTTGGGCTGGTTGGCTGGCTCGTCCATCGGACTGTTTCTAACGTGGACAAATGTTATCATGGATTATTATGCCCGGAGATTTCCCCTGAGGAGCAGGGCCAGCGGAGGTAGGAGGTGGGAAACACGGGGCCAGGGGAAATGTGTCACAGCACAACCCTGAACGTGTTTAATTAAGGCTCAGGGGCGTGAGGCACTGTCCCCACCCAGTCAGGGACAGACTTTGGAGAGACAGGGAAGGAACCAGAGCCAGGTGGGAGAGGGAGTGGAACATTTCAATCTAGAAGAATCTGAGGGCCGCGTGGTCACTCTGAGCTCTGGCTCTCATGTACCAGTGCGTGCTGACCGCACATTTTCCCTACTGGCATCTGAGAGAAGAAATTCCAGAATCAGCCCGTGGCTCAGCCGGGCGCCCCCGGGACCTGTCTGGGCAGCATCTGGGGCTTACCCTGGAGGGCTGGGGCAGGGGCTGGCGACAGCCTTCCTGGGGCAAGTCTCTCCATAAGAATTCAAGGCAGAGGCTACAATCTAGGGACTCAGGCTGACTCACCCAAGTTAAAGATGGTCTGTTTCGTCGATGCAATGTTAAAATAATTTTTTTTTTTCAAGTTCAGTCAGCCGCTAATTTCACATAATAATCTAGATTCCTCTTCTGGAGAGGAAGCCCCAGGAACACTGGCTGGAAATAATCAGAAGCATGTGTAGGGCTGCCCCTCCCTCTCCGGCTCTCCCCGACACAGCCTGCCTCACGGAGTGATGCACCAGCTGGGCCCCTGTGCGCATCTGCATGTCTGGATCCTGCCGCAAAGCCTTCTGGGGAAGGGCATGCACCTCCGCTGGCTCTCTAATTCCTCCCCATCCAAGCGTCACCTCCTCCCCCACCAGCCCTCTTCAGGAGGCGCCAGGAGTATCTAAAGGCCGTGGAACCCAGCTCAGCTGCAAAGCGTGGGGGTCCGGAGGCACATGTTTGCGCAGTGGCCGGCTTGCTTTCTCACCTCTCCGGGTTGGGGGTTTTTCCTTCTCGCCTGACCCAGACTGTCAGAAGAGACCCTATCAACCTTCTTGCATATCAGCAACTCCACACCGGGAGGAATTCAAGAAAGATTGGGTGGGTGGATGGAAGGAAGGAAGGAAGGACCCAGGATGGCTGCCTGCACGCACACATTCCCTTCCCTGAGGACAGATTACGTGCGAAGGCGCGTCAGAAGGCGCAAGCACTAAAGAACGGACAATAGCAGCGTCTGGCGTGGTGGCCAGAGCTCTGGACCCAGAGCCGCAGAGCCGAGCTGGAGGCCAGCTTTGCCACGTGAAGCAGCTGCGTGACCTCGGGCGCATCGACCTCAGCAAGCGTCAGTTTTCACGTCTATAAAATGGGGGTGATGATATCTCCCTTGCGGGGTATGTTAAGGAACACGTGCGAAAACGACTTCCCGGAAAGCCAGCTGCTGATGCCATCGGGCTGGGAGCTCGTCTAGGGCAGCAGCTGGAGCCGGGCCTGCACACGGCCAGCACCCAGCCCTGGGGTCGGGCTGACCTCCGTCTGACCGGGAGCCCCCGTGGCTGCAGGCAGGGCTGGCCACCCAGCGGCACAGAGGCCTAGGAGGGCCACCCGTAGCCAGGTCAGGCACAGGGGGCTCCCGCGGGCCCAGGGAGCCGGTGCTTCTGCCTCTCCCGTCAGCGGGAGGGAAGGGGAAATGATCGGGCAGATCACGAGAAAAGTGACATCACAGGAGAGGAAGCTGGCAGGAGGCAGATTCCCGGTAGAGGGGAAACCTATGCCGCGGTGACGCCCAGCCAGAGCGGGTTCTGTGAAATCAAGCCGCCGGTGGCCAGGCTCACCAGGCCACGTCCCTCCCCGCCGCCTCCGGGCCACTCAAAGGGCGCGAGGCCTTGGCTGTGGGCGCCGGGAGAAGCCGGGTAGAAAGGAGGGAGGTGGGAAAAGGCAGAAAGGGCCCAGAGGAGGGAGGCCACAAAGCCGAGGATGCCCAGCCTTCCCTCATGGCTACATCGTCACCTGAAGGGCAAGCCCCCTTTGCCCCCAACCCGCCCTCTATCGCTCCTCGTCCGTGGCCATTCTGGGTCCAAGGGCCGTGCCCTCCCCCTCCCTATACACCCTGTGCCTGCAAATCAACACCCTTCCCCGGACCTCTCATATCTTTGCCACCCACACAAGCAAATTTTCCAACAAATGCTCATTCAAAGAGTTTCTCAGCGTCTACGCTGGATGATCATTATCAAAAAAGAGCGAAACTAGAGGAAATGTTTGTCCGGTGCTTATGATCTGGAGACACACGTCTGCCTTCCCTTCCACACTCAGACATGGGCAGGGACTCCGGGGGGCCGGCCTGGGGCGTGAGTCTCCACCTGGGGACCCTGGATCCTTCCCGCAGGTCTCAGGAGATAGAGGTGGGACTTCCCAGGCCGTTCTCGGAACTGGCGAGGGCCACAGAGGCCGTCAGTCCCCTCACCCGGGTGCCGGCGGGCTGGTCAGGAGCGCCGTGGCCAAGAGAGTGAACAGCCAGCACAGCTGCTCAGAGGCTCTGCAGGAGAATCCGCACTCGGGTGGGCACTTACGGGTGCAGGCGAACATGCGTGGACTCACGCACACAGGCATGCGTATGCACACCCACACACGCTTTGGATCCGACCGCCTCGCCCGACTCTGGTTGCAAGAGTGACTCCCCTGGGTCCCCAGGGAGCTCCCTGAGGATAAAGGTGGAGGTGCCCAGAAATGACACCCGCACGCTGGGACCCATGGGACAGGGTGCCTTTTGTTTCCCGAACAGCACGGGCCTGAGGTCGCACTACAGGCATTTCGCCTTTTTCCCCTTTAACCACAGTCCCTGATGAATTGCCAGGGCCCCGGAAAGGATGATGACGAGTCAAGGAGCGTCGTCAACCCTGTGACCTCTTGTCTGAATAGCATCGACCGACAAAGCCCGCGTTGGCGAAGGTGGACACCAGTCCCAGAATCCGAGGCTTTTAGAGTCCTGGAACCTTTTTGCATTTTATGTCCTGGAATCTCGGACACTCAAACTCCGTGAAGCCAAGACGTCGGGAACTTTGCACATGAGCATCCCAGCCTCTGAGGCCAGAATCCTGGGACTGGAAGGGAGGGCAGAGGCCCGACCCTACTAGGTGCAGAAGCTTCTCTCCAACGTCCTTGGACCCCACCCCGGCCGGCAAGGCTACTTCAAGATCCCTCTTCTCTCCCCAAACGTCTGCCGCCCAACAATGGGGCCCCGGGAGGGCCTCCTACTCCCCCTACCCCCGCAGCCCTGCCTGTAACTTACGTCATCATCTCACCGCTACAGGTGCCCGAACCTTCCCCTCTCCCTCTGGGGGCCGCTCCCACTCAGGGCTTAGGCATGGAGCCCCTCCCATCGTAAGTATCCCCTCCCCCAAATGTCCCAGGTCACCCACCTCTTCCCAGACTGGGGAGAGCATGTCTACACTGCCTCCCTTCCCCACCACCCTCCCGCCTCACTCCTCGCAGCTGTCAGGGCCACCGGGGGCCCCAGGTTGCCTGCCCCAGTGGCCATTTACCAGTCCTCCTCCTACTGATCAAACTGCAACCCCGGACGACCCACGGGCGGCCCCGCTGTGTCCTGTCCCACCTCCCCGAGGGCTCACTTCTTCCTCCGAAACTCTGTCCTCAGGGGGCCCAAGTCAGGAGAGACAGCAGGGCAAGCGTCCCGTGGGTGATGTGGGTGATACGGAGCGACCCTGGCGATCGGCCACCCTTGGTCACATTAGCCAGAGCGGGCTTGGCCCTGGCCATGCAGCTTTCCAGCCTGGAAGCCACTCGACTTTGGCCAACAGCAGGGCGTGGGCTAAGGGAAGAGGGGTCCCCGGGTGCACGTGGAGTCCTGTGGCTCCGGCATCGTCTCATTTGAGAATTCAGGGGACCAGACAGTGGGGTGACAGCAGCCAAGGAAGCGAAGCCATCCCGCCCGAACCAGAATCAACAGCCAAGGTGTCCGAGACCTTCGGGTGGCAGGACGGGAGGCTGGGGCCGGGGCGGCGGGCCTAATAGCCTCGCCTGTGCCCTGTGCCCTGTGCCCTCTTCCCGCGCTGCCCCTCTGAGGTCCGGGACGTGGGCTCCCCAGGCGGGTGACTGTGGGGAGAGGAAGGGGGCCCCAGGGGGTGGGTACCTCCGGTTCTGGATCGTCCACTGTCCCTGGGTGCACGGCAGGTCATACCTCTGCCTCCGCAGAGCGTAGGCGTCAAACCAGAGGGCTAAGCCGTAGTCCAGGGAGGGCACCTGTGACAGAGGAGTGGTCACCACGCGGCCCGTGGGCTGTGGCTGGGCTGGTGGCCCCACTTCCCAGCCCCGCAAAGGGAGGAGGCCTGTCGACACAGAGGGCCTGCCGGGGCTGAGGTTTGTCTGTCACTCAACACACAGGCACCACTGTGGCCAAGGGAGGCAGACTTGTCCTCCCCTCCCCCTCCCGGGGAGATTTGCACCCAGGGCCCAGCCTGTGGCTGCTCCAGCAGGGGCAGGACAGCGGTCCCCTCCCCGCCGGGGCTTCCTGAGGTCCGTAGGGTGCCCTGGGCGGAGGGCAGATGGGTGGCAGGGCACGGGGCTCACCATGAGGTGCCAGGAGCAGTGGGTGCTGGGCGAGTAGTAGCTGGGAAAGTAAGGCGTGCTGAGGACGCCCTGCGGCTCCAGACGGCCCTCCAGGGTCAGGTTCACCTCGCAAGCTGGGGCCCCGAGAGCAGCTGTTACACAGGGCTCCCCCGGCCCCGGCTCGCCGCGCCTCCCAGCAGGTGAGAGGCAGCCGCAACCCCACCCGCATCCTGCCATCAAACCGTCGAGCTCAGTGGTGGAGTGTGAATGTGTGGCCTTGGGCCTCAGTTTCCCCATCTGCAACACGGGGGCCACAGTAGCACCTACCTCCCAGGGCAGCTCAGCCGATTAAATAGACACGCCACGCACAGAGAGCCTGATCGGTGGTGAGTCCTCAAATAAATGTTACCTATTGGCACGAATTGTGTTGCCCCTGAACGTTTACTACACGTGGTCACCACTGTGCAAGCCTCGCGGTTCTGGGCATCGGGGGAGGGAGAATCATTCCCCTTTGCAAAGCTGAGATTCCGAGAGGAGGAGGGACCTGGCTGAGGTCACACAGTGAGAGGGCGAGGGATCAGGAGGGTTCCCAGGGGCCCCGCCACGTCTCCCCGGAGCCAGGGTCACCTTGTCCCCCTCTCCCCTGAGCTGTGTCAGTGACTCCCTGGAACCAGCACGGGCTCCGGCAGCTCCTCGGCCCCAGGCACCCCCCACAGGGCTGCCGGAACCCAGCCGGGGCCGCTGGGGACCTGGGCCACTGCCAGGAGACCTCTGGGGCCAACACCAGGGGCGGGAAGAGGCAGACCACCAGGAGAGGTGGGGGCAGCGTCTCGTGGCCTCCTGTCTCCAACCCTCTCTTCCACCTGCTCCGGAAACTACAGAGTCGGCCTCGCTGATCCAGGCCTAACGACAGCCAGGGCACGAAGGGCAGGGTGAGCTCTTCCTGGGAAAGGGGGTGTCAGCGAGGGAGATCCGGAGCAGGAGGACAGCGGGGAGACCCGCGGGCAGCCTGGGGAGCCCTTCCCGGAAATGGTGTGGATAGCCCTCCCTGAGCCGAACGCCTTCTCCAGAGAGATGTGGGGCTCACCCTAGGTATGCGAGGGTGGTCTGGGGGTGAATCTGAGGTTCTCGGGGCCTCCTGACCACAGACCCACCCTCTAGCCTCAGGCAGGTGCAGGGGCGGGAGGGGGGTGGGCGGGGGGGGGGGGGGGGGCCAGGGGGGGAGCCGGGCGGGGAGACCCCGGCGCACCGGGGGGGCGCCCCACCACCCAATAGACAGAGCGAGGGCATCAGTCCGGATGAGGGGGGGGGGACAGGGACAGGGACAGGGAGGGCCGGAGAGCCAGGTGAAAGGTAGGGAAATGGAGTGAGAATAGAGGACAGAAGAGAGGGGCCGAGGGCACGGGAGGGTGGAGAGCGGAGGAGCTTCCAGAACCTTCCTTCTGCCCCCGTCCCACTCCCGACTCCAACAGGAAGGTGAAAGGCCTGCTGGCCTGTGCCCTGGGTTTCTCACAGCAACGCCCCACCACCCCCCCCCCATCCCTAGGGACGCGTCCCCTCACCCTGGAAGGCCACAGGCTGCACGGAGAGTACAAAGGGGTCGTAGTAGCTGTGCAGGCCTTTCTTCCAGACCACGGCCATGACGGCGCCGGATGCCAGGACTTCCACCACGGGCTCCTGGCGACTGCAGCCGTAGACCCTGGAAGGACAGAGAAAGGTGGCCGGGGCGGGAGGGGCCCGGGAGGGCGATCTAAGAGCAGCACAGCTGTGGCCAGCCTGCTGTGTGTCCTTGGGCAGGTTTCTGACCCGCTCTGGCCCAGGAGGCTGACTGGAGGCCCTGGGAGGGTCAGGCCAGCTCCTCAGGTGAGAGAGGCCAGGAGGTTGCCTCCCGTCCCTCAGCCCCTGTCCCCTCAGAAGCCCTGTGACCCCCGAGTGCCCGGCCGGTACCCCGCAGGGAGCCCAGGTTTCAGGGTTGAGGGGCCCGAGGTCACCTGTAGTGGGCGCCTCAGCCTTTAACGTTGGGGGTTCTTTTCTTTTATCTGCTTAGCAGCAGAGACAAAAATGTGTCGCCGTCTCCCAGGGTGTGAAACCCATAAGAGAAACCACGGGGTTCAAGTAGGTCGGGGACCCTCCTGCTCTGCCCTCTTTGTCACGGCGCAAGACCCTCTCACGACTCTGGGGTGCAAGTCTGGGGACCCCCTGACCTTATCCGACCCATCATTGGGGACCTGCAAGGCTCTGAGGTGGGATGTCCGAGCTGCCTGGGTACCACAGCGGGCAGGGGCGAGGCCGAGCCGGGTCCCCTCCCTCTGGGCAGGCCGTGTGGGGGGTGGGACTTGAAGAAGCCCCAGGGGAAGCCCGCAAGCGTCCCCACCCTCATCGGGGCTGGAAATCAGATGGTGTCTGACTTCTCCGCCTTCCCAGAGCCCTCCAGGAACCCAGCCCACGCACACCCCAGATTGAGGTCACCATGTGGGGGGCGGTGTCGCAAATGAGTGTGCCGCCTCAGAGCCAGGATATTCAGAGAGGCGGGGGGGGGGGGGGGGGAGGGGAGGGATCTGGGGGAGAACCTCAGCCCTGCCCAACCTCCAGGATTGCCCTTGATCTGAACGCGCGGGTCTCGCCCCCACTCCCGCCTGGAAGCTGGGCCAGCCTGAGCGAGACACAGGAGGCAGCAGCCTGGGGCACCCCCTGCCCTCCCAGCCGGGCCCCTCTACCTGTCACAGAGCCACGTGACACCTGGGCTCACAGAGCCCCTCCCCCACACTGCGGAGGTGGCCACATCTCCTGGAGGCCGAGGCCATTTCCAGCCCCCTCGTGGTCTCCCCCCACCACCCCCACCGCCACTTGCCCGCTTCCTGCCCTTGTCATCCTATCCGATGTCCTCAAGCCCCGCTCCTCTGCTCAAGAACTTTGGGGGGGGAGGGGCTGGTAAGTGGGGGCCACTTACCAAGTGTTACAGCTCAAACTGCTCCTGGCATTCAATGCCCCTCGTGACCCAATCCCACTAGACTATATACAATGAGAGTAGTAACGCACAGCAGTTACTGGATATTTGATGGATCCACTGAACACGTAGCAATAATGGATAGCACTACGATGTGTGAGAAGCGTGGCACCGATGGCTTCCTTTAAATCCTCGCAACAACCCGGCAAGGTGGGTGTGATTCTGCCCCCATTTTACAAGTGAGGAAACTGAGGCTCAGAGAGGCAAAGTGACTTGCCTTAGGACACGGCCCTGAGAAGCACCAGGAGGGGGGTGGTGGGAGGTCTGGGGCTACCAGACCCTGAAGCGTCCTGACAAGCCCTGTCGCCCCTCAGAGCTGAGGTTCGGGGTCATCTTGTACAACCGCTTTGTTACAGGTGGGGAAACTGAGGCTCAGGGAGGGAAAGGGGACGGCCCACAAGACGCAGCCCCTTTCAGCCCCTTTTCCCTTTCTCCGTGGGCTAGCCCCGCTGCCTCTCAGAGACCACACACCGAGGAGCAGGGTCACACAGCCCCTCATCTCGGAACGGGGTGCGATTTGGCCCCCACATCCCCGCCCCCTTCCCAGGACTCACGAGGTGATGAGCCTCCTCTCCAGGGGCCCGGCCACGTCGTACATGGCCAGCCGGTCCCGGCACTCGGCCAGCGTCCACTCGAGCCGGAGTTTGAGCATGAGATCCTTGGGGCCCTGCAGGTGCCACAGGCAGCTGGAGGCCAGGTGGTCGGGCCCCTTCAGCCGTTGGACCTGGCCCTGGCCCACGTAGCTGTAGCGGTAGCAGCCTGGAGGAGGGAGAGGCACAGGCCCCCTGACCCCTGTTAGCCAGGAGGAGAGACCCCGGGGGGCCAGCCGGTCCTCACCTGGGCGGGGGTGGCCCGGGGACAGCAGCTGGATGGGGAGCAGCCCAGATGTGCCATGTCCCTTCTTTCTGTCTCCCCGCTGGCTCCCATCTCTCACCATCCACGCATTCACTCATGGGTCCATTCGTTCATTCGCTTAAGCGCTCACTGACCTCTCCATGCCCGGCGAGTGCCAGAGAAAGGTCTGGTCACCGCCTGGGAGCACCAAGAACAGCGAGGACAGATACAGAGCCCAGCAGTAAGTAACAGCTCAGGAAGCGAGGGCTCTAAGCCCAGCCGGCTGTAGGGCTGGGGAGACCTGGGGTGGGGGTGGGGGGTGGGGGGAGGCAGGGTCACAGCGCGAACAAACGGCCGGTGGCCAGAGGGGGCCAGGGGACTTTGAGGCAAGAGGGCAAGCCGGAGAAGGGAGGCAGGGCCCAGATCACGCCCTGGAGCGGAGACCCTTTCCCTCGTGGCCACGGGGAGCCATGGAAGGTTAGGCAGGGCTGGGGCGTGGCGGGGCTCGGATCACAGACCCCTCTGACTGCGGGGAGCAGCTTCCGGGAGGCCGAGCGACCTGCAAGGTGGCTGTGCAATGAGGGGAGAAGGGCGAGGGGCTCCCGGGGGGCTCTGTAGGCTAAGCGTCCGACTTCGGCTCAGGTCGCGATCTCGCGATCTCGCGGTTCGCGAGTTCGAGCCCCGCGTCGGGCTCTGCGCGAACAGCTCGGAGCCCGCCTGGAGCCCGCTTCCGAGTCTGTGTCTGCCCCTCCCCCGCTCAAGCGCTGTCTCGCACTAATGAACTTTTAAAAAAATTTTTTTGCAAAAAGGGGGGACTAGGGTGAGGGTTTCATTTCAGGTGGAGAGAAGGGCGCGCGCTCCGGTGGGGCCGAGAGGCAGCGCTGGGTCGAGAAAGTGGCCTCGAGCTAATGATGAGGACACAGGACTGATTAAGCATTTGATGCAGGGCTGCGGGGAGGGCGGCTAAGCGCCCTCCACTCACCACCTCACTTAACAGCCCCGTGAAGCAGTTGCTGTCAGCGTCCCCCTTTACAGACCCGGGCCGGATGGGGGCCACCACACCGCCCTGCAGGCCTTGTCACACGCTTAGGGCTGATGTGCGTTTGCGTGCCCACCACGGGGCCTGGCACAAAGCAGGTGCTCCGTACGTGGGGCGAGGGTTCTCTGGGTGAGTGGGGGGAGGGGGAGAAGGGGGAGCTGGGGCAGAGAGCCCTGTGACTTGTCAGCCTCCAGCCGGGCCCCCCCCCCCCCCCCGGCTTGAGGCTCGGACACAGCCAGTCCCGCCGGCTGCCCTCCCTCTGCAGCCCCTTCTCTGTCACGGACTCCCCTCCTGTGTCCGCACCCCGCTGCACCTGCCGCCTGACTGAATCCGTGAGCCTTGCAGGCAATGTCAGGACATGCACGGCAGGCCCCTCTGCACCGTTCTAGCATCTTCATGTGCTCACCCCCTCGGCACGGTTGGTGGGGGCCCTACTGTGTGTTTGATTCAGGCCCCAGGGACCAGCAGCCAACAAACAGTTTCTCCCCTGGAGCCCGGGTCTCTCCTCGAAGCCTCACGCTAGGGTAGCCCGGGGAGCAGCAGGGATGAGGGGAGGCGCCCCGGTAGGTGGGAGGCAGCCTGCTGGGTGAGGGGCTCGCCCCCTGCCCTGCAGTCCCAGCGCCACCTTCTCATCAGCCGCGTGACTCGGTTGCTTCGCCACTCCGTTTTGGCGAACGCCCACTATGGTCGCCCATTTCCCACTTCCTTCTCTGGGGGGTTCTGAGCACCAGTAAGGGAACGGAGGGGAGGATGCTTTGCTCAGATGCTGCTGCCTCAACCCCCTCGTCCTGAGCCCTGGCCGTCCTGACTCCATCGGGGAGTTGATTTCCTCCGGGGCGGGGGGGTGCGGGGAGGGGGCGGATGGGGCACCAGTGACAGGGAAGAGACAGGGCCTCTGATCTGCCTGAGCCAGCACCTGGGGAAGGCCGCCTGGCTCTTCCTGGTCGTCTGTTTTCTTCAAATCTTGCCCCAAGTTGAGGTTTTGCTTTTGCCATTTTAATAATTTCTCTCTTTTTTAATTAGTTTTCTTTGTTTTGGAGAGGCAGAGAGAGACAGAGCACGAGCAGGGAAGGGGCAGAGAGAGGGAGACACAGAATCCGAAGCAGACTCCAGGCTCCGAGCTGTCCGCACAGAGCCCGACGCGGGGCTCGAACTCACGGACCGTGAGATCCTGACCTGAGCCGAAGTCGGATGCTTAACCGACTGAGCCACCCAGGCGCACCCCCCCCCCTTTTTTTTTGAGGCTTATGAAGTAGAGAAGTACCTGCTGGTCTCTGTTGATCATCAGAAATATGTTTGGGAACCCTGTCACTTCCGGTCATTGGGAGAGAGTAAACGAACATGCCTGCTGCATTCTCCTCGCCTGGCCTTTGCTCACACTGTTCCCTCTGCCCAGAGTGTCCCTTCCTCTTTGCAGCCTGACAGACCCCTACCCATCTCCCATGCCTGAGTCTGCTTCCTGACACCCCCCCCCCACCATGAAGGCATCCAGGACCGCCCGCCCTCCCGGGCAGGAGCAACTTTTCCCTCCCTCTAAAGGCAGGGTCCCTTCTTCTGCTTTGGATTGTGGCCCCTGGTGTCCCTCCGTCCCCAGGGTGGAACGATCCCCCTCTTCCGCTGCCCCTGGGACCTCTGCTCTAGCGCTGGCACTTGGTGTTATGAGATTCTGTTTATTTGTCTCTCTCTCTCCTGGGCTCAGAGCTCCTCTGAGAGCAGGGGTGAGGACACGGTCATCTGATGTCCCCAGAGCAGGCACGGGGCCTGGCATGGGGGAAATGCTCGAAAAAGCCTGTACGAAGGATTTGAATTGTCATCCTCACCCCATTAGACACCGCGCTCCCGGGGAGCAGGGACTCCAGACGTGCACCGAACCGAATAAAGATAATTACGAAGCAACCGCCAGAAACCTGAGGAGGCGTGGACAGCCAGCTCAGGCAAGGGCGGCAGAAAAGCCCATCCAAGACCAAGGGTCACGGTGTGAGTACCGGTGCAGCGGAAGATGATAGGGAGCTACGTAGGGAGATCGATCGATCGATCCCTCCATCCGTCTGTCTTTCACATTCTCCTTTGAACCAGTTTTGCAATATTCTACTGGTTCCCTCGTTAAGAAGTTAAATACATCTTTGATGTGTGCTCACTATAGTTTCGAGAACCATGATTTTAGCTACTTGGAAATCGCACTTTGACCTCATCACCTCCATCCCCCGAAGAAGTGAGCATTTGACCGGCCAGAAGATAAGAGAGGGTAGGACGATGATTTCAATCTTGCCTGCCCCACTGAGAGGGGGCTGATGCCCTCAGCCTGGCCTCAGCTCTGGGTAGACGCTCTAGGTAATGTAAGAAGGAGCTGGGAATTTAGGAGCTTCTGCTCGGGACCACAGGGCACAGCAGCACAGGTTGTGCACTGCACAACTGCAGGAGTCTCCAGTCACGCAGACTCCGATGTGGACAGTGCCGCCTGGCGCTGTGCGGCATGGTGGCCCTGCTGGTACTTTGTTCCCAGGGTGCAGGAGGAGGACTACGGAGCCTCTTGGAGAAAAGCAAAGCGAGTCTGGCAACAGGGCATGGGAGTGGGGGAGGAAGACAGGGCAGATGGGCCTGGCTAAGAAGGGGACGGAAAATGTGAAGGGAGTATCCTTGAACGTGACAGAAAGATCTCCAAGAGACCAAGGTTTAAATGCGAAGCGGCTGATAACGCTTGGAATTGGCAAGAGTATTTTCTACCATTAGTGGAAACCGTAGCTTTCCACTAAACTGAGTTTGGCGATAAGAAAAGGAGAGTCACGTTTATGTGCAATTAACCCGGCTACTCACTCCGACACCCCGCACAGGCAACGCGCGCGCGCGCACACACGCACGCGCACGCACGCACGCACGGGGGTACCATCCCTCCCGTCCCCTGCGGGCCCAAGCCTCGCTCGGGGCTCATCACCAAGCCCACCACGGCAGGGCGCCCCCCCCCGGGGGGGGGGGGGGGGCGGCGCCCCGCACCCACCGGAAGCCACACGGCCCCCCGACACTCGACCAAAGCCAAGCGCAACAGCGACTCAAAACGAAGCGGAGGGGAAAGAAAAACCCCAGGCGCGTACCCAGCGTGGCGTTCAGGGCAACTATGTCTTTCACGCTGGCCTCTGTTAAAAGGAAACGAACAGACAAATCAACGAAGACCAAAGGTAAATAAATAAAACGAAATGAAGAAGTGCAAGTAAAAATTGCAGCTACCGTCAGAGCCAGCCTGCCTGAGATTGACCCCGAGTGCCGACCCCCTACCGCCCCGCAGTGGTCCTGGCTCCCGGGGTGGGGGTCGCTCGGAGACCACCCCACCCCCACCCTGAGAGCATCCAGGCCTGTGGAGCCCTCACCGGCCCGCCCCACACCCCCCGCCCCTCCCCAGTACTGACCCAGGATCACCAGGCCCTCGGGGTCCACCTCGTAGTCGGCCCTGTAGGGGGCGGGGGCCGAGCCGTTGGCCGTGGACTGTATCTCCTCCGCCAGCAACGCCCGCACCACCTCGGGGCTCAGCATCGGCCGGCGGTGCTCGGGGATTTGGAGGATGAAAAAGAAGAAGCAGGTAAGAGGCCCCTCCCTAAGGCAGGCAGAAGGCGAGGCGGGTGGGAAGGGGCCGGACATCCGGCTCCGGTGGGGGAGACAGCCAAGCTTGGCTCGTGCCCCCCCCCCCCCCCCCCCCCCCCGCGCTGTCGTCCCCCTTCACGTGGAAACCTCCTCCCGACAAACCCGGAGCGAGGCGCTCTCTACCTCCCGGCCGCGCGCGGGCGGGGTTCAAGGGTGTGCCACCGGCCGGAGCCGGACATGCACGGGACAGCTGGGCCACCCCGACTCCCGTGTGGCGTACGCGCGCCGCACAGCCAGGGTCTGGCGTGAGCCCCCCCCCCCCCCCGCGGCCTTGTGCCCATTCTACAGGTGAGGAAACCGAGCTCCGCGAAGGGAAGGCCCATGTCTCGGTGTCCCCATTTTTAAAAACAAGGCCATCGCATCGGAAGCCGCCAGCACCCCCTCCTTGTCTCTGAGTCTCAGGTTCTAGTGAGGGCTGGGGGTGGGGGTGGGGGTGGGGCCCGGGGCGACTCACCCAAACGAATAGACTGAGCTGGAGTTGTAGTAAGGCCCCAGGCGGGTGCTAGCAATGAGCTCCTTGAGCTAAAAGGAGAGGAGACAGCAGCACCCTGGGGACCCTCTGCGGAAACCCCCTCCCACCTGCGCGTGTCCTTTGCCCTTGTCGGTGGCCCTGCTTGACAGGAACCCACCGGGTGGAGAGGCTTGCCCGAGGTCACCCAGCGGAGGAGCGGCGGAAAACAAACTTGACCCCCGTTCCTTTCCCCTCTCCCCATACCTAGGCCTTGCCCCTCAACGCTGCCGCCTACGCCAGACCACCGATGGCTTCCGTCCCTCCTCGTCAAAAGTCGCCCCTCCACTCCGGAGAGCCCCATTCGGCTCCCGAGTCGGGTCCTCACCCCCCCCCCCCCCCCCCCCCCCAGCCACGGGGGCTGAGCTGGTCGGTTTGCGTGCGTGTTCGCAGCCCGGCGCGGACGGCAGGAGGTGCATTTGCGGAGCATCTCGGACACCTTGAACAACGTCCCCGCCATCCCCTTTCGACCCCGTGCCCCTCTGGATTATCCGCGCTACAGAGGAAAGAGAGCCTTGGGCGCGTCTCCCAGGAGCAAGTCCCGAGACAAGGGTGTGGGGAGAGTGGCTTCTTGGGGGGTGATTCTGGAGAGCACCGGGAGCTGGGGGACAAGGAGGACAGGCTGGCAGGGGGACAGCCAATGCAGCTGTGAAGGAGGACAGGGCCGTGGGCAGCTGAGGCACCGTCCAACACGGAGCCCTGGGAGGCAGCCCAGAGCTGGCGCCTCACCAAGGCCAAGGGAGCTGGGGTATTTATCTACCCGCGCCCTGTCTGGTGGCTGAAGGTTACTCCCAGGAAGCCCTGCTCCTCAGCACTTCCGGCCTGCCCTCCTGGGTGGGGTGCCATCCCGCAGCCAGAGGGTGGGACGTCCGGGCAGCCCGAGACCATCCCCAGGGCAGGAAACCATCGCCCTGGGGGGGGAGGGGATGTGGGTGGGCCCGGACAGCACCCCTGCACGGCCCTGACCTCCCCCAAGGTAAGGCTGCTAGGGAGTGACCATCGGGACTTAACCCAAGTGCGTTTCACCCCCGAGTCCGCTGACTTTCCCATCCCCCTGTCCCCCGTTCCCCTCCCGTCGTGCCTGGAAGAGGACCCGGCTCCCAGCGAGGGCTCTGAAGCGACTGACCGACGGGCTCGGCCTGACCGGGGCCCTCCGCGTCCCTCCCCACCCCTCGTCCGTTCCCTCCCTTCCCTGCAGCCCTTCCCTACCATCCTCTGGGCTTTGGCCGTTTCACTGCGGAAGGCACTGGACTCCCGGCGGGCGAGGTCCTGGGAGAAGTGGCGATTGAGCACGCGGAGGCTCCCCGAGTACACCTGGCTGACCGTGACCTCCGCCTTGTACCCTGCCCGGGAAGAAACCAACAAGGTCAGCCGAGGGAGCCTCCGGTCTCCCCGACGCCTTCTCCTGCCACCCAAACCCTCAGCTCAGCGGCCTGCATCCCGGGCCTCCGAGGCCCCTCCCCCATCATCATCTTTGCCGCGGACGTCGCGTCTTCCGGTTTGTTCGGCGACAGGGAGGAAAGAAGCCCATAGACGGATGGCGTCCCGAAGGCTCCCAGGCAGAAGCTCGGACACCAGAATCAGTCCAGGATACAGACCACACGAAAGCCAGGGGACCCGCGTGGCCGAGAAGGTCAGGTTTGCGCGTTAGCGCCTCCGTGCATCCTTCCCTTCGCCGGAGTCACAGCCCTGGGTCTCTAGCCCCGTTCATTCGTTTATTCACTCAGTCAGCAAACGGTACTTGAGAACCCTACTGTGTTAGCGCTCCAGGTATAACAGTGAAGAAAACAACACCCTGCCCTTAATGGTTTGTTGAGCAAGAAAGGCAGACAATAAATGAACAGTTAGAGGCGTCAGTGCCGCAGAGATCAGGGGTGAGGGCGGGCCGCGACCTGGCGGCCAGGGAAGAAGGCGGATGTTAATCTACAGAAAAAAAAAAACGTTCCAGGCAGAGGGACCAGCAAGCGCAAAGGCCCTGAGGCAAGGAGCTCATGTGGTGTACTTGAGGAACACAAGGAGGGGAGAGTAGGAAGAGATGGGAGGGGGGGGGGGGCGGGGGGGGGGGGGACTTGGGTTTTGCCATGAGGTGGGAGCGGGGGGAGGTTTAAAGGGGAGAGGTTAGGTGCTTTGATCTGCTTTCTAAATCGGTCCCCCTGGTGTTGTGTGAACGGGCTGTAAGGGGGCAAGGGCAGAAGCAGGGAGCCCCGCGGCCGTCGGGGGAGGGGGTCTCCTACGGTCGTCCAGTGACAGTGGCCAGGCGAGGGGCGACCAGGCCTGCTGGCTAATTGGGGCTGGGGTGTAAAAACGGGGAGCAAAGGGGGGCACGGCTGGAGGGTCGGGATGGCCACTGTGTGGGCTGGGGGGTGCGGGTCCAGAGGAAATGAAGGAGAGCCGTGGGCTGCGGTCCGAGGTGCCCTTAGACATCCTGGTGGAGGGCAAGCCCCGGCGACAGAGGAGCCCAGGCTGGACGGGTTTGGGAGTCACCGGGGTATAAAGGACATTTAAGGCCAGGGGCACCGGATGAGACCCTGAAAGAAGAAGGCGGACTAGGGAGAAGGGGAGCCCTCGACCAGCGAAGGACACGCGGGAGAAGCAAACAGTGTGAGCTGGGGGAGAAGAAAATGTGGGGCGCCCTGGAAGCCACGTGAGGAGAGGGTTTCGAGGAGGAGGGAGCGAGGGGCCTGGTCAGATGCTGCCGGTGGCTCAGGTGCAAGGCGGACAGAGGGCCGGACGTCGGATGTAGCGACGTGATGACTGGCGACTTTGGCAAGTGCCGTTGGGGGTGGGGACGGGGAGCCAGATTGGAGAGGGTACCGGAGAGGCTGGGGGTGCAGAAGTAGAGACGGGTCTTTCGAGGAGTTTGCTGCAAAGGGGGGAGCGGAGAAATGGGGGGGGGGCGCCTGCGGGATTTGGTGCCGGGAAGAAGAAAGCATGAACGGTCACCCAGGAGAGCAGGGGAGGGTAAGTACGAGGAAGACAGAGCTGGGCAGTCATGAGGGCCCCCAGCGTAAGTAGGAGGCACCCCAGGGCCCAGGACCTGCCCGCCTGGGGAGCCAGCCCCTACCCCTGCCTCTCCTCTCCCCCGGACCCCTTTCTAGAGTCCAACTGCCACTTAACCAGTCATTGGCTTGTCACTTTGGGCTTCTCCTGCTCCAGTAGCACAGGCCCCCTGTCTGTCTCCCCTTCTAGATTCATCACCTCGCCCAGCACCCGGAGCACAGCGTGAGCCTGGGCAGGAAGAACCCTTCAAATAGCTCCTGGAAGTCCCTCCTTTTACCCTTAAATCCCTTTGGGGGCTTTGGAGCACCCCCCCCACCTCCGCTGGGTCCTCAGCCCCAGGGAGCACCCCCTCCCCGAGGGGTGAATGTACTCCCGGAGCAGAATCAGGAGCAATTAGATTTCTCAAAGAAAGACGATTGGCCCTTGGGTTCCTGGCCCTCCAGCCCGACACCGCGGTTTACCCCGAAGACTCATCATCCCGAGGCCTCGGCAGCTCTGTGCTATCTGGGGTACTGGGTTCCTGCCAGTGGTGAAATGCACACAGCTCCCACCCCCACCCCCCCACCCCCCAGCCTGCCCGCATCGCTTGGCTCTGAGCGGATTCACAGTCTAAGTCATGGCCAGCAGGTGCATCAGGCCTAGGCTTCCTAACAGCATGGCCCAGGGGCCGGCTCCAGACAATCCCTACCCCGACGCCCGCTGGAGCTGGGCCTAGGCTGATGTCTGTGATGCCTACTCCATAGTGGGTCCCCGTTCCCTTCAAAGGGCCCGACATTCCACCATGAGACTCAGCCGGTAAGGAGACTATCTAACTTCCGCGGAGTGTTTATGGGAAGTCTCTGATCGCTTGGGCAAGGTGCATTGTCTCCAGTCTGGTTCCTTGGCCGCTCACCTTCCTCTGTCCTAGCCCATGCCGTGCTTTCTGGTGAGGGCAGGGGGCTATCTTCAGAGCCTGGCACAGAGCCTGGGGCACAGAAAGTGCTTGGTACTGAATAAGGGAGTGAGTGGATGAATGAATGAATGAATAGAAGGACAGACAGATGGACCCAAGAACATGGGCCCGTTGCTCCTGGGTCTCCCGGGGACCAGTTGAGGGCTGCGATACCAGAGGGGGAGGCCAAACTTCAGACCAAGGCCAGCGTCCCCTGGCCGCCTGCTCTGGACACTCCAGATCCCCCTTCCCCGTGTGTTGAATTGTAAGCGTGCCCGAGTTTGGGTGTGAAAGCCATCTCTGTGCAGGGACACTCCCCCGGGCGTCTGAGTCCTGTGTCTCCCTCCCCTTCATCCCCAGTCATGCTGGGTCCTGGAGACCCAGAGGCGACAGCTGTGGTCCCCACCCCAGGTGCCAGGTACCTCCCGTGCCGCTGGGCCTCCTCCCACAGAGCCAACTGGCTCTGAGCCCAGGGGCAACCCAGGAGGGCTTCAGGCAAGTGGAGGCAATGTTTACACTCCTGCTTGTCGGTTCACAGGAATTGGGTGCTGTGAGAATACGCCTTCCCCCGCTGGAGGGAGCTGGGGGCGCTTGACTCCAGCAAGGAACTTGCCCTTGACCTGAGCCCAGGACCTAGAACGTAGGTGCAGGAGGTCTCCCATCTCACAGGACGGCAGAAAGACTCAGAGAAGAAGTGCCTTGCCCAAGTTCACGCAGTGAACTCCGCATTCCCCGAGCCTGGACTTCTGGTCTCTCCTGGTAAGCCCCCGACGACCATCCCAATTCCTCCCCAGGCGCCTCTCCCGGACGGGCCCACCGGTTACCTAGGAAATACCAGAGCAGGACCCCCACCGAAGCCAGCACGACAAGGGCCAGCCACAGGGGCGCCAGGCGGAGGTAGTCCCGGGCTTTTCTCTTGGAGTCCTTGGGGGCCTTGAACATCCCCTCCGGCTCTGCCTCCTCGCCATCACCTCCATCGCCCTGTCTGCCAGCTGCCTGGGGGGCCTCGGCCGTGGGCATCCTGGTGGAGAAACAGACCCGGGTTGGAAACGACCCGGCGTCGGCAAAGGAGCTTTTGCCGAATACCAAGGGTGCACGGAAGACAGCAGCCCCGCCTTTGGGATGGGAAGTCCGCGACTCTGGAAGGCGGTGATTGAGAGAGGGCACGAGCCACCTCCTAGGGCCTTGGGGCCGCTCGCTCCAGAGGACAAGCGGAGCTGGACTCCGTCGGGCTCTGGAAACGCCACCTTTGCGGCCGCACCGGCCTCTCTGTGGTCCGAGGACAGAGAGGGGCTTCGGTTCCCAAGCCCCCCACCGCCCCGCGATGGTACCCGCAGCCGGAGAGCCCGGAGTGCAAATTTCTATCAACCAGCTCCTCGAGCCCTTGGCCTTCTGTCCGCTCAGGCGAGTTCCTTCCTCTCGGTTCTCCGTGGCACAGCGTCCCGAAATACCGCTGCCTTCCATTCACGTAAACCCTCCCCCGGCAGCCCCTGAGCCAGTACAATGCTGGGCCAGACCCCTGCCCTTCCAGAAGTGCGCCCTCTGGTCTCCCCGCCCCCCCCCCCCAGCCGAGAGTGTCTTCGGGCCAGAGGAGGCATGAACTAAAATTCATCGGGCGTCTCGGGAACACTTTTCATTTCATCTGCTCACCCAGGGGCGTGGGGCTCGTTGTCCATCTGCGTACCCCTTCCTCGGGCCCACGCTGTGTGGACACTGTACGTGTCTGCCTCAAACCTCCAAACACCGTTCGAGGTTCCGCACCCATGGGGCAGAGGAGGAAGCCGACGGCCGGAGCGTTACAGCAACAGCTCAGTCCGGGATTTTCCTAGGCTCAATTTCCCAATGCGGTTTGAGGATCTGTCACTCACGATCAGCCCCGTTTTACAGATGAAAAACCCGACGCCCTAGAGGCTAAGCCACACTGGCCCAGGGTCACACAGCAGGAAGATGGGGATCAAGCCCGGGGGTGGGTGGGGGGGGGGTTCTGTCTCCCTGCTCCTGCCAGGACCCTGGGCTGCTTCCTGTAAATGAGCTGTTCATTAACAGATCATGACTTCATAACAACCAGATGCTGCCACTCTCAGTGCCCTGGGTCTGCGGCTGTATCTTCGGAACCCCCCAAGGAAACTTCTGGGTGTTATTTGGCTTTTCAGGGAAGGCCCTTTAGCCATCCACCCACCGGCAGGGTCAGGATGCTAGACCCTCGAGAAGTGTCTCACTGCATCCATAAATGCCACTGTGGCTTTAAAATACACCCTCAGATGTGTATGTGGGGGTGAGGGGGTGGGAGGGCTTTCCTTGGGGCTGCGTCTTAGGTTTTCATACAGTGGGTTTTCTGAAAAATGGGGCTCCCCGGCGAAGCTCGAAGCTCTCCCGGCTGGATTTAAGGGGCCTCCTGGCCCTCCTCCCTGCGTCCCTGCTCCCCGTTGCTCCTCTTGGCGTTAAGTCACTGGCTATCAGCCACAGTGACCCTTACAGTGTCCCCTCCCCCCGGAGTGCAAGGGAGGAGGGACTGTTGGCAACCCTCAGCCGGGCTGAGGCTCTTCCAGAAGCCATCAGTACCCACGGGGCCGCAGCCGAGGATGGCCGGTGCACATCCTGCGAAGGTCGGGGCAGCCTCGCCCGCCTCCCAAAGCGTCCGCAGCAACCCTGGTGACAAACTGGCCGTCCCGACAGGCTGGCTCGAGGAGAGCCCAGGTCCTCTCTCAGCCCAGGTCCACCGCTTCTGCCAGAGGTGGCCACACCCCTGGTTATATACTCTTGAGCCTGGATCACCAAGGAGCTATTGCGGGATTTCTCGCACCGCCACGGGGACTTGGGGGCACAGAGGTGAGGTTGAGCGGCTTGGCCGGGGTCTCACAGTTGGTTAGAGCAACAGAACCAGACTGTAAACCCAAGCAGAGTAGCGCCCCGACCCCTATGCTCTGCTGGCTCACGCATCATCGGGGTACCGAGGCGGGGGGGGGGGGGGAACGAGGCCCGGAGAAGGTCAGAGGTCTATTAGGGGAGGCGCCTAGGGGAGCAGTCCAGGGTGGGATGTTCAGCAGGCCTCCCCTCCCTTCTCCCCACCCCCGAGACCAGACCTTCACTCCACGGATTTCATCTTCTTCCTAAGTGTCCCTCACTCGCATCTGGGGTTGGGGGGGGGGGGGGACAGTGAGCATCACAGAGGAGCCCAGTATTAGCAAAGCCACTGGGCAGAAACCCAAGGTAAGATCGGCCCAAGTTGGATCCAGCCCAAGTTGACGGGGGGGGGGGGGTGGGGGGGCAATTCATCGGGACCTCCCCATCGCCTCCCACCTGGGCTCCTGGGGCAGACTCCTCCCTGGGAGGACTCCTCCCTGGGGTCCCCATCTCCTGTCTCCTCCAACGTGCCATCACACTGTCACCGGGCAGCACTCCCTGCCCACCTCCAACCGCTCACCTGCTCAGAACGCCCTCGTGGCCACCTCCGAACCCTTGCTGTAGCGCCCAAGACCCTCCATGCCCACCTTCTCCCATAACCCTAACTCCCGTCCCGCACGTCACCCTGCAGGCCCACAAAGCCACACCTTTGTGCAGCCACGCCCTCCGTCTGAGGACTGCAGGGATCCCTAAAGGCCCCGTGCAAGGCCACCAGCCTGGCGATGGGTCCCCAGGCCCTGGGTAGTAGGCCGCCTCCTCTCCTGGGCGGTCAGATCCCCAGGATGCCTGGCCTTTGGCTTCGTCTCTTCGCCCCACAGGAGAGACAGGCCTGCGTCCTCCTCACCCCTGCTTCCCCGCAGAACCCACAGGCCCTGCTATGTGAATGAGAGAACGAATGGCGAGGGCCCCCAGATCTCCAGACCCCTGGTACGGTGCTCTCTCCTACACCTTGCTGCCTCCAGGAGGTGGAACCTGGGGCTTGCCTGCTGTGTCCCCCTGAACGACTCCATTTAAAACAATAAAAAAAATTTTTTTAAACGTGTATTCATTTTTTGAGAGACAGAGCGTGAGCTGGGGAGGGTCAGAGAGAGAGGGGGACACAGAATCGGAAGCAGGCTCCAGGCTCCAAACTGATAGCACAGGGCCCGACGCGGGGCTCGAACTCACAAACCGCGAGATCGTGACCTGAGCCGAAGTCGGACGCTCAACCGACTGGGCCACCCAGGTGCCCCCGAACCACTCCATTTTTGTCGGGCACCTGCTTGGTGTCGGGCTCTGCACTGGGCACGGGGAAGGGGGGGACGCGCGCTGGTGAATATGAGCCCTGTCTCCCGTCCTCTTGGGGCTGACAGCCCAGCAGGAGATGGGCAGGTGTGACAAGTGACAGCTGGGAAGATGACCCACGACTCCTGTCTTTTACTATGATACAGTGCCCCCCTCCCTGGTTGCTTCCAGGGTTCAGTCCATCAGAAGGGTCTGTGGTTCTACCCTCCAGCTGCTTCCAGAACCCGACCCCTTCCTGGAACCTCTCGGGCTCCCACCGTCATCCAGGTCAGTATCATCCGTCACCTCGACTCCTGCAGTAGCCAGCTGTGTGGTCACCGCCACTAGCGAGTTCCCACACAACCGCCAGAGCAGACTTTTCACCGTGGGCCCCGCTCGTGGGCCTCACATCGCTCTCCTCCACCTAGAACGGAGCCCGAAGCCCAGATCACAGCCCACAAGAGCCTTTGGGACACGGCCCTGGAGTGTCTTTCTGTCCTCTCCCACCCTCTGCTGCAGCCACACCCAGCTCCTTGCCAGACCTTCCACTATCAAGTACGCGGCACCTCAGGGCCTTTGCACATGCTGTTTCCTCTGCCAGGAACGCTCTTCCTTCAGTTCGCCCCAAGGCCTGCTCCTCTCCTTCCAGGTCTTTTGCTCGAATTTCTTCATAGCCCTTCTGGTGACCTACACTGCATGATGCTGAGTGTCCTTTGTCTGTCTCCTCTCTGGCTGAAAGTGGCACCGGGACAGGGGCTTTATTCTGCCCACCGCCGTGTGCCCTGCTCCCAGGGCAGAGCTCGACCCCCAGTAGTTGTCGTCAAGCGAGGGAATGCTGGGATCCCAGCTCCTTCCCGATAGCTGGAGGGCGCTTTGGGCACGCGTGGCCCGGCCGACTTCTCCTGCCTTCCTTTCTCTCTGCTTTCTTTTTCCCCTTGACGCTGGACTTCCCAGCCATCAAATTCTAACAATGAAGACGCTAGAAGAGGTATACAGGTCAAGGGCCCTGAGCTCGCTCTGCATGAAAAGCGTCACGCGGGTCATTTCGGGAACCCTGGAAGTTCTTGCTCGTCACCTGGCTTTCCCTCTGCCTGGGCTGCCCTCCTGTGACTTGGCCCGCTCCCAGCTGACCCCTGTGCGCCTCCCACCTCCTCTTGGCAGTTCTCCCAGGGTGCCTCAGGAGGGGTGGCTGCTTCTCTGGAGCATCCCAGGCCTCCCCCATCAACGCGCAGTTCACCTTGGGACATTCTCTGTCCCCTGAGGGTGAGCCCCTGGAAGGAGGGCTGGGTGTGCCCCAACTGACACCGGCTTCTTCTCTGATCTGAGCACCTGGCCCCTTCCCTGGCACCTGCCCCTCTGCCCTCCAGCTCTCCCTGACCCTCAGAGCGTCCTCAGTCGGCCCACCGGAAGCTGAGCTCCCCGGGGGGGGGGGGGGGGGGGGGGGGGCAGGGCCGGGCCCCCCCCCCTGCCTGCCAGCCCTTTACTGGACAATGTTGCGAATCACATTGTATCTCAGCCTCCGGCAGCCTGGGATGTCCTGCTTTGTTATCTCTATCTAATAGTTGGGGGAAACCAGGTACGGGGAGAGAAAACGACTTGCCCAAGGTCACTGAGCCACCGCAGGGCAGCGCGGGGAGGAACAGACCAGAAATCTCATCTAGAGCCGTGGAAGGCACCTTCCAGCGAGGAGGACCCGGGCCTGGAGCAGATCCCTGCTACGAGCCACGTGGTGTGCGCCCGAGGGTGGGGGGAGCGCGTGAAAGTCCCCTCCACACACACGCGAATACGGTATAAATATGTGATAAACCCACACACAGATCACAGAGGCAGACACACGTTCAGGTACACGCACATCCGTCTGTGACACACGAACTCACGGGTGCATTCCTCAAACTTCACACACGCGCACGCACGCGCAGAGCCGGCTGCACGCAGCTCCGGGCCTGGGACCTAAGGGTCCCCCGTTCGGCGCAGCGTGAGGCTCGGGGCCCGTCTCCCACACCCGAGAGCCCAGGTGGGTGCGTAGGTAGGGAGCAGGGCACATCCAGTGTTGCGGAGTGTGGGTGGGGAGCTCGGCCTGGCAAACGGGGCCCCTCCTCCGCCCAGTCCCTGGCCCAGGGTCCACCGGCCCCACCGGAACCCAGGCCTCCCAGCCCCCGGAGCCCGCAGTGTCCCCACTGCCCCCGTGCCTGCCCATATACCTGGCCTCACTCCGCCCCGTCTCGCCCCCACCCCGGCTCTGGGGACCCCTCGCCCTCTGCTTACCCAGTCGCTGTCTGGCCGACGGGGCCCTGAAGACCTGTTCTCAAAGCAGGGCCGGAGGCTCCAGCCCCAGAGAGCCAGGCCTGGCTCTCAGAACGGACACTGTCACCGGGCCATTCTTAGATCCTGGTCCCCCGTCCCGGAGGCCCCCGCTTACCTCTGGGAGTGGCAGGTGGGTGCCGGGCCTGCACGCAGGCCCCAGAGCCTCTGTTTGTCCAGGCCAAGGTCTCCCTGCCCCCACCAGCCAGCCTGGGCTGGATCAATGGCCCAGAGCCATGGCCGGGCTGTCTGGCCCTTGTCCCCTGTGGCCTGTGGCCCCACCAGGCTCCATGGGCCTTCTGCCGGGTTCAGGTCAGCACGGTGACTGAGCCCAGGTAAACAGGCCGGAGGCAGGAGACAGGCAGCGCCCGCCCCACCCCACCCCACCCCGCCCCGCCCCGCCCCGTGGGCACCCCGGAGGCTGGCGGGCAGGTGCAGGAGATCCGAGCTCTCCCCTGAGGCCTGTTGCCTGGTGACGTTCCTGCCTGGTTACAGCCCCCGGTCCCCTAGCGCATGGGGTGGGGGGGGAGGGAGGGACTGAGGATGGGGGGCTGTGCAGAGGCCCGGGCGGCGGGGGCAGGGGCTCGTGCGGGTCTCCTTACCTAGACTGGGGACCCCGGAGGAGCCAGTGGCCCGGGAGAGAGCAGGAGGCTGGGCCCCTGTGGTCCGGGGACAGAAAGGGGGAAAGCGCGGTCTGATGCTACTTTTCGTTCAGCTGGACGTGATTTCAACTCCTCCCTGATTCTATAGAGGGGTGCTCTCCACTGAGGCGGCCACTGGCCACAGGGGGCCCCTGAGCCCCTGAGGTGCGGCCAGTCCGACCTGAGACGCGCTTGTGGTGAGATCCAGGCCTCAGGGCGAACAAAGAATGTCGGACACCTCAGTGAGAAGTTTCCACATTGATTACACGCCGGCTGTATTGGGTTAAACAACAACTTACCGCAATTCATCTCACCTGCTTTGTGATGTGTGTGTTGTGTGATGTGGCCGTTAACACTGACGTCACGATGGCCAGGCAGACGCGGAGGGGCTGACCCGAGTGGAGTCCAAAGAAGCCGTGTCGCAAGGAGGGGGAGGTGTGAGTGAGGAGGGTCGGGGTGAAGGGCACAGCTCTACACCGCGCACTGGCTGCGGGGGGCTGGCTGGGGACTCTGGCTGGGAGGGGGGTGGGGGGCACCTTCCCTGCCCCCGCCGGGACCCTGGGACTGAAGCCCCCAGCCTTGCCCCACCTCCTGTCACCGCAGCCCCCGGGAAATCTTCCCTCCTCCCTCCAGCCTCCCCTCTTCCCCTCCTCCCGGCCCCCGCCCCCCCACCCTGCTGCAAACTTTCCGAGGGGAAGGGGGTTCTTGGGAGGGCGTGGGGCAGAGAGACTGAGACTTGCGTCTGAGCCGCATCCTGTCGTTTCAGAAGGCAAGGTGGCCCCAGACCGTGGCCGGACGGTCTGAAAAGCAGGCCTCGTTCAATCGGCACCCTCTGTACTTGGCGGCCACCTGGCCATTGATTGGCCACGGCCCGGGGGGAGGGGCTGGGACTGGGGGGTTGGGGGGGGGGGCAGCAAATTGCTGAGCGGGGCGTTTGAAAGCAAAAGTGCAAGGATGTCAACTCCCCAAGAGCTCAGAGAGCCACCACGGGCGGGGGACAGCCTGCCCCGGAGTCAGGGCTCCTGTCGGTCCTCAGGGCAGCCATGCGCCCTGGACACCCTTGTCCCGTGGCAGGGGGACACAGTCCCACACAGACGGGATAAGAGCCTCAGTGTTCCCAGGGTATCTGCATTTCACGTTCACACTGGGTCCCCTTGGTCTCTAGGGACAGAGAAGCCACCTGGAGGCCTGGCCAGTGAGGCTTGGAGGCCAAGGGACACAGCAGGCTTGATCCATCAGGACAGGGAGGGACAGACCTCAGTGGGCCCACCACACTCAGGGGATGAGGATCCAGCCAGACGTTGGAGAGTTCGAGGACCTGACTGGAGTCCTAGCTCTACCTCTTAGTGACCTGGCGAGTCATGTCACCTGCCCAGGCTGCCATCTTGTCAGCTGTGGAAGGGAGATGATAAAGAATCATCTGGAGTCGGGAAGATGGAAGGGAATAGAATTCGCGGGTGCTGTGCCCTCTACACGGGAGGCCTTTCTTTTCATCCGAGGTGGGAGTGAAATTAGAGGTGAGGACGGGCAGGGGCTCAGTCGGTTGAGCATCCGACTTCGACTCAGGTCATGATCTCGGAGTCCGTGGGTTCGAGCCCCGTGTCGGGCTCTGTGCTGACAGCATGGGGCCTGCTAGGAACCCCGTGAAGACAAAGGCTTGGTCTGTCCTGACCCCGTTGGATCCCAGCTGGGCTCACGGGACACACAGACGCTCGCTGAGCGAGCAAATGATGGTTACTGTCATTTCCTTCGATGACGATCTGGTGGGTGTTTTGAGCTCTGGGCCGCGAGCTGGGCCCCTCCCGGGGATGCCTCAAGTCCAGGGTTGGGAGTGGGAATCCGTGACTCTGCTCAGCTGAGGAGGAGACTGAGGCTCCGGGGACGAGAGGCTGACTTGCCCCGGGTCCCACCGCCCGTCGCAGGGGCTCTGGCCTGATCCCTTTGATGGGAGCGGTGTCATATTTCTGGGCTGCCACGAAGAATTACCGTCCCCGGGGCTGGAAACAACAGAAATGCGTTCTGTCAAGGTTCTGGAGGTCAAGATCAAGTGTCAGAGGTCTAGGCTCGCTCTGGAGGCTCCAGGGAAGATTCCTTCCCTGCCTCGTCCTAGCTTTTGGGCATGGCTAGCGACCCTTGGCATTTCTGAGGTCCAGGGGCTGCGGTGGGGGCCGCGGGGGCGGGCCCCTTCTGTGCCACCCAGATGCTGTCTAGACAGGCGATGGGGAGGACCGAGCTCCCCTAGGCTCCAAGGCGGTGTCTTCGTTTTCTAGAACTGTCCTAATAAGGTACGGCCGATGGAGTGGTGTCGAACGACAGAAATTTATTCTCTCACCGCTCGGGAGGCTAGAAGTTCGTGATCGAGGTGTCGGCTGGACTAAGCTCCCTCCGAAGGCTCTAAGGGAGGATGCTTCCTGCCTCTTCCCAGCGTTAGAGGTTGTTGGCCATCCTTGGAATTCACTCAATCTCCGCCTCCATTGTCGCATGTCACGTGTCTGTCTCTGGATCCCTTCTTTCTTATAAGGACGCCAGGCGTGCTGGATTAGGACCCACCTGATGACCTCATCTGATGTACATCTGTGAAGAGCCCTGTCTCCAAAGAAGGTCACATTCATAGCTATCAGGAGTTCGGACTGCGACATATCTTTTAGGGGACGCAAGGTCAACCCCTCCCGGGCAGGGGGAGAGGGGTGGGAACAGGGAACTACTGTTCCAAAGGTCCAAGTGACCCTGAGTCCTCAAGTCGCTTCTTTTTCTTTTTTTTTTTTTAATTAAAAAAAATTATTTTATTTTACTTTTGAGAGAGAGAAGCAGAGCATGAGCAGGGGAGGGGCAGAGAGAGGGGGAGACACAGACTCCGAAGCGGGCTCCGGGCTCCGAGCCGTCAGCACGGAGCCCGACGCGGGGCTCGAACTCACGAACCGTGAGATCATGACCTGAGCCGGAGTCGGACGCTGAACCGACGGAGCCACCCGGGCGCCCTCCCTGCTTCAGAAGCACGTTCCCTCTGCACGCCTGAGCTGCTACCCCTGCCTTGGTCTGCCCCCTCACAAACACAGATGTAACCTGTCACTTCCCCCTCCTTGTGGCCTCTGGGAGCCGTCTCACGGCTGGGGGGAAGGAAGCTCCGTGAGCTGCACACATCTTTCCAGTTGCCTTGACCAAGCCTTTAGGGGCTGCCCCGGTAGGGGCCCCGGAGGCCACCTCTGTCACCTCTGCCCAGCACACGGTGAACGTAGAGTAACTCGCTCGCTCGCTCTCTCATTACACGGGTGTCAGCACCAACAGGGTGCCGGCCTGTGCTGGGCCCCAGGGCCACAGAAACAAACGAGGCTCAGTCCCGGTCCTTGAGGGACGCAGCTCAGCCGGGGGAAGACGGACAGTGCGACAGATGCCAGACTGTTCTCTCAGCAGCAGGCAGAGAACGAGGCCCTCAGCAGCACGTAGGGACACTCCTTAGGAATGAGAATCCGTCAGGATGGCCTGTTATCGACTCAAGTGTGAGACCTCACAGGAATCACTGCCTCAGTGACCCTACTTCCCTCGCCTATAGAGGGATTCAAGGCTCGTAAGGGCTTCCGGTACCCTTATGGAGGCCCTAAGGCTCTGCGATTTTGTGGGGCGCCCGGGTGGCTCCGTAGGTTCAGCGTCCGACTCCGGCTCAGGTCATGATCTCGCAGTCCGTGAGTTCGAGCCCCGCGTCAGGCTCCGTGCTAATGGCTCAGAGCCTGGAGCCTGCTTCGGATTCTGTGTCTCCCTCTCTCTGCCCCTCCCCTGCTCATGCTCTGTCTCTCAAAGATGAAGAAATGTTAAAAAAAAAAAAAAAAAAAAAAAGACTCTGTGACTTTGTGATACAGTTAACCAGACATGGGCTGGCCTCATCCACCACCTCCCCCCCAACAGAAGAAAAATGGCCATTTCACTCCATTTTGCAGGTGAGAAAGTGCAGATGTCACTTGTCAACATCTCACTTGTCAACATCACACAGCCGGGAAGTGCTGGGATTCAACCCCAGGACCCCCTGATGTCAGATTCCCCCAGTGACCACCCCCCTTCTGGGTCTGTGTCCCTCCCCCTTGGGGCCCCTCACCCCTTCTGTCCCAGCTCTGGGTCCTGGCCTCTGGCCTCTGGCCTCTGTGTGCAGGCACAGTTAGAGGAGGACTCAGCAGGTCCCGGCCTGGCCCCTTGACACTTTCCCAGCCAGAGGTCAGGGGAGTGGCTTCTGATCAGGGGTTTGGGGGTTGAGGCCACAGCCGGGGACACAGAATGGAAACTCCTCATGCGTCACCCAGCCTGTCCTCCTCCACTGTGCGGTCCCTCCTGGCGGCGGGGGCTCCCGGAACACGCTGGTGGGGGGAGGTCACCAGCAGGCCTGGGACTGGAACCCAACTCACCTGCTTCCCAGTCCTGTGCTCTTCCCAGGGCTCTGCCCAAAGATAAGTTTTTAAGACTAAAAACCATCAGGCAATAAAAAACTTCCAAGGCACACAGAAGTCCAAGTTTCAACAGATACGTGTACGTTTTTTCTGGTCTCAAAATGCTGTCACAACCAGGGCTCCTCCCCTGCGGGCAGTTCAGTTTGAGGGCCCAGATCCAAAGGCTGGAGGCATAGAAGCTTCTCCAAGGAGCGGCTTTCTGGCTGCCTTGGAGGAAGCAGCCAGCGCTGGCTCGGGTCCCCCGCCCCCTCCGAGTGCCTCTCTCCTCTGGATACCTTGTGTCTTCAGGGCAGCTGTCAACCCAGATGTGGCCGTGATGGCCTGTGGGCTCTGTCCTTTCTGCCGTCCACGTTGGTTCCAATTTATATACAAGTTCAGGTTCTTGGACCTTGTGGGTCCTGCCCTCCTTCCCTTCCTTCCTTCTCTCACCCATCCAGCAATACGCACATTCACTCAATGAACACCCTGTGGCAGGCGCTGGGAGGGACAGCGGTGGGGACAAGGGCCTGTGAGGATCCTTTAGTGTCCCTTCAAGAGCTGCCTTCACTGAGCACTTAGCACGCCTGAGCCTCTGCGCTAAGCACACGGTGTTATTCACTCACTTGATCTCCACAACAACACCATGAGGGAAAGAAAGAGGTACTATTCTGAGCCCATTTTATTTTATTTAAAAAAAAAGGTTTTTTTAATGTTTATTTATTTTTGAGACAGAGAGAGAGCATGAACGGGGGAGGGTCAGAGAGAGAGGGAGACACAGAATCTGAAACAGACTCCAGGCTCCGAGCTGTCAGCACAGAGCCCGACGCGGGGCTCAGGCTCACGGACCGCGAGATCATGACCTGAGCCGAAGTCGGCCGCTCAACCGACTGAGCCACCCAGGCGCCCCTCTGGGCCCATTTGAGGGCTGAGATGACCAAGGCACGGAGTGGCCAGTGACTCGCCCAAGGCCACACAGCTAGAACGCAGGGGCGCAAGGATTTGAACCGGGAGGACTTTAGCACTCACCCGGGCAAGCTTTTTTTCACTGATTCTCAAGTAGCGTCTTACCCAGTCTCTCAGCCATCCAGTGAAACAGGAATGACAGAGTTTCTGAGTTCCGCGTCACAGGGGAGGACAAGAGGTTCTGAGAGGACGGCACACGTCCCCCGGTGAGTTTGGTGGGGGGGGGGGGGGGGGGCGGGCGGCGGCGGGGGGGGGGGCACCGGAACCCTGGGCCCTCACCCCTGCGTTCTCCTATCTCAAGGCCACTGTTAGTGGGGGTTGGGGGATAAGCGGTTGGGTTGTTGATTAAACTTAGCTCAGCACGGGTGCCTGGGCCTGGCCACTGTGACAGCCGGGACATCCCCTTGGCTGGCTTGTTCAGAGACATTTTCCACCACCATGATATGACACACTCGAGGCTCCCATCGCAGGGCCCGGCGGGGTGGGTGGGTGGCGAAGGGCTGTGGGAAAGAAAGGCCAGAAGTGCTGAGTGGGGAGAGAGATACAGGCTGGGGGGAGAGGTTCCCCGTCTACAATTCCAGGAAGCCAGGATGCAGAGGGAGGGAGGAGCTGGCGGGAGACGCATCATCTTCCTCTGTGCACCTGGCCTCGTGCCACACGCTGGGCCACAGAGAGGAGGCTGGCTACTGTCCTTCTGCGGAGTCCCCAGCCCTGGGTGGGGGAGCGACGGTGGAGAACACAGAGAGGGGTAGAGGGACAGCCACACCCTCCTCTGTGGAACCTGAGCCTTTATTGGAAATGGGCTGCATGGGAAGCTTCTGGACGAGTCTCCTGAATTGGGGAGGGAGAGGGACCTGTTGCACGGGGCTGTAGCCAGAGAAGCTCAGCCACCCTTCAGCTACTTTGGGATACAGTTGGCCGAGGACGTGGAAGAAGTAAGAGAAGCAGGTGGCAGGGGACAGGCGGACCAAGGAGGAGGCCGAGCAGGGACCCGAGCTCAAGGCGATGCTGCCGCCTCACAAGGGTGGGGACGGTCTCAACTACGATTACAATCGTGCAAAGGGGCTGCTGTTGTCACTTTTTAATCCTTTGCCGGGAACTTTTAAACTTTTAAACTTCCCTGAGCCTCAGTTTCCTAATCTGCAAAATGGGGGACAAAACACCTGCTTTGCCGGGTCTTTTCAGGCGACGAGGGTAACGCTTGGTAAGCAGTGGCTAAATAAATGTGCCTCTTAATCTTTTCTGAAGTCATCCAGGATGCCAATAATTGAGAGGGCAGGGGTAGGTATTCACCCCAGGATGGACTGTTTCCTCCGTAATTTGCTCGGTGACCATGGACGCTGGAAGTTGCTTGGGGTGGGATCTGGGGAGCGGGGAGAGAGCAGGGATACCAGATGGACTGGGGAGGTGAGGAACAAATATAGTTCGAGAAATTGGAGGTCCGAGAGGCTGGAAGGCCTGCCCACCTCTCCCTCCTTTTCTCTGACCCCCCCGTCTGCCCGGCTGCCTCCTGCTTCCCACTCCGCACCTGACAGGTCTCCCGGGGCTCTCGGCCGCCTGCTTCCCAGCTGGTGCCGCTCCTCTCCCTGAGATCTGACCCAGGCAGGCCTGTCTCTGCCTCGCCCTTCCTGCCCCTACCAGCTGCTTCCTCCTTGCCCTGTCCCCGGAGGCACAGACTCTGACCCACCCAGGGCATGTCACATGGTGGCTTCGGCCCCATCAGTCCACCTGGTGTAAGGTGGCCCCTCATTTCTGCTCGCCGCCAGCTCAAGCCTCTCATCAGACCACGGTGGGGACCCTGGGCATGTTCCCTGGGCATGTCTGCTAACTGGCCCCTCTCCGCTTTCCAGCCCCCATCCCTGCCTGGAAAATCTGGCCTGCGAAGATAAGACCTTCCACTGTGGAAGGAATCTCAGGGGGATCATCTGGTCCAGATAGGTCACCAGGTGCCAGCTATGATCATCTGGGACCTGCCTGCGGAGTCTAAAGCCGTACCCAAACTTCGTGGGAAGGAGAGCTGTGATCGGTTAGCGATGTCTGGTATGAGAGGGTGCAATTGATTAGCAATGTCTGCCATGGGTGCAGCTTTGTGAACGTCAGATATCGCCATCTGTGATCTGGTCCAACTGTTCAGAGTCAAAGGCACTGAAAGGGGAAAAAAATTATATATATATATATATATATATATATATATATACCTTTATTTACATTTATTATATTCGGTTTATATTATATTACTTTATATTACATTAAATGTACATATTAGTCCTATTTTTATGATATTTTATTTTTATTTTCCCATGAGACCATGTCAGAAGGTGCCTAGGCACAGAATAAGAGAAACCTGACTCCTATTAGTGAAAATGATATTCCTTTTATAATCTTTTTGCTTTCTCACTGTTTGGTGCTGGCATGTCTTCAACAGCCTCCCAACACTTGCCAATCCCCTCTTCAAAAACGTTTTTTAGCGTTTTTGTTTTTTTAATTTATTTTTGATAGAGCGTGAGTGGGGGAGAGGCAGAGAGAGAGAGAGAGAGAGAGAGAGAGACGGAAACACAGAGCCCGAAGCAGGGCCCAGGCTCCGAGCTGTCGGCACAGAGCCCCATGCGGGACTCGGGGGCTCGAACTCGTGAACCACGAGATCATGACCTGAGGTGAAGTCCGTCGCTCAACTGACTGAGCCACCCAGGCGGCCCGCTAATCTCCTCTTTAAACTAAGAAAGCGGATTTCCAGCTGGCAACAGATGGAGACATTTTATTGTATTTACTTTTTAGAGTTCCCTTTTATTTACAGAGAATACCGGTGTCTCCATTCACGGAAGCAACAGGACGACTTTTCTTTAAATACAAGTAAACAAAATAGTGAATGGAGTTACAGGAAAATATTAAGTACACAGTAACAGAGATGGCACACGCAGGTCACTGATACATACACTACAAATGAGAAATGTAACCATCCCAAGAACGCTTCAAAGTGGAACCTGGCTTGCAGAGCAGCCTCCCGGTTGGTCCCGGGACACAGCGCAAGGGTCTGGGCACGAGCTCGGGTCTGAGGCTCAGATCAGGACCGAGGAGCTCTGTGGCCCAGAACACATGGCATCACATGGTAGGAGGTGGGACGTGAGCTGGCCAGGTAATGAAGCTCTTCCGTGGGAAGGATCCAAGACTCAGACACCCTCAGGAAAGGGGAGTTTATTCTTGTTTTCTAAGGAAAACAAGAATCTTGAGTGAACAGGCAGCAGCCTCCTTGGCAGCAAGAGTCTCTGTTAACAGAGCCCGGTGCTGTCCTCTATACAGGACGAAAGTCCTCCGCTGCCTTCTCCGAGGGCGCCTTTTCCGCAAGGACGCGCTCCCAGGTGCCTCCCTCCCTGAGCGCACCCTCTCGAGACGGAGAGTAACCTGATTGGCCGGTGCGGGCCCCGCCTCTCTGATTGGGCAGAGCTTATTTTCTGAGCCAGCTCATAGGCTGCTTGTCAGCCTATGGGTGGGCTTGTGTCAAGTGCCCAATCAGGGAGGAGCAGGGCCTATAAATAGAGGGCCTGTCTGGTCCCCCGCTGAGCTTGGACGAAGTCCTTTGTTGGCTGAGGGTGGTAGTATGGGGGCAAGATTGTGACAGACGTCGCAGGTGTGACCAGTGCAATAGACAAAAGGGAAGAGAGATGGAGAGGTGGTGGGGAGCACCAAGAAGGAAGGGGCCGGCTGTGTGTGTGTCTGTGTGTTTGCGTTGGAGGGGAGAATTGCCATTGTGAAGGGGATGAGCCTCTTGCTGGAATGGGCGTGCTGGAGCCTAGCGGGCATGGGGCTTTGCCTCTCTGAGTCTTGACCTCACACGGGTCAAGGCGCCGGGGGTGCTCTGTGCGGTGGATGACGCCCCCTATGTGAAGGCAGCCGGGCACTGGGAGTCCGAGCAAGACGGTTGCAGACGGTTCATTATCTCATCCGGGGGATACGGTGGGGTGCCAGGTACCCCGTGTCAAGTGCGGTGAACGGAGTTGCGCTTCCGGAGGCGGTGTGCCAGCCCCGGAGCCACGCAAGAGGTCCCTCCAGTAGAGGGTGGAGTGGCAGGGGCCCAGATCTGGGCTCCCTGGGACAGCATCGGAACCTGCCACTGACAGGAGGTTCACTTTCCAGCAGCATGCCTTAGGAGTCTGTGAAACCTCCATGGAAACATCCAGCCAGTGTCCCCTCCTCTCCCCCCCCCCCCCCCCCCGGGGGATTTGTGTCCATACTGTGGTAAGGACACAGCAGCGAAGCATGCTGAGGTCAGGAGAGATCCCAAGGGCGGAGTGACAGAGCCGCTGGGTCTAGCCATCCCGTGACCCCGAGAACTGTCCCTCCAGCACTGAATCGTGAAGCCTGGGCACATGAATGGAAGCAGTGTTTCCTTCCAAGGGAAGCGGACCTGACACTTGAGGGATAAGGGGGGTTTGTCCCCTAGATGAAGGAGGCACTGAAGGCACCGGGTGCCAAGCATGTGCCAAGGTGTGGGGGCAGGAGGGAGCTTCTGGTGGCTCAGTAGGAAGGTTCCAGAAGGGAATGTCCCAACACGATGCTGGAGGAGCAGGGGCCGGGCCAAGAAGTGAAGCGGAGGGCAGTGAGGAGGCATGGCAGGGATTTAACCGGGGGAGGCAGCTTAACCATATTTACGTTCTGGAAAGAGTGTTCTCATTGTTCTCATTGTCCTGCGGGGGAGAGGGGGAGGGGGGGAGATGGGGCAGGAAGCCTGCGGAGAAGACCCCTGGAGAGCCCCGAGAACGCTCCCCCAAGAGTGCTTGCAGGGCTGAAGAGGAGGGATGCTTCAGGGACCAAAGCCATGGGGCTCCGTGACTGACGAGGGAGTGGGGGAGTCACGGTGCCCCCACCCCCCCCACTCTGCACTTGGGTCACAGGACCAGGAAGCAGCAACTGAGGTCTTTGGAAGTAAACGGCCAAGTGTGCTAGGTTGGGCGGGGGCCCTCTGGGCAGAGATGTCCGGGGCACGGCTAGAAACCGGGTGACTCAGCAGTGGACAAACCTTGAGGACAGCGAGCCCTCAACTGGGCCTGGCACCACAGTGGGCAGTGACCCACCGGGTCGTTGCGTCTACCCCGAGCGAGCTGGGTCCTGATCCTGCAGCTCCTGGAGGGACAGGTAGGCATCGGTGTTCAGGGTCAGGCAGGAGGCAGGGGCTCTGAGCTGGCCTTGCCCAGGAGGGCTGGCCCAGGGGAAGCTGACCCTGACCCCCTCCCCAGGGCCAGGGCCCGGGCCCGGGACCTCCTCTCTTGCTCCTTCCACGGAGCCCTCCAGGGGTGGCTGGATGTCCACCGGCTCAGGTGCCCCTGGCGGGGGAGACATCGGGGGCCGGGGGGCCCAGTCTCTGGGAGCTCCCTCCTGCAGGGAGGGGGCCAGCTTCTTGTCATGAGCTCCAGTGCCCCCCGGGGCCGTGTTTGGGGGGCCCGGGCCGCCGAGGAGGAAGGTGCAGTAGGCGTCTTCCTCCCCGGGCGGAGGCAGCAGGGGTGGCCGGAGAGACCCCGCAGGCGCCCCGGGCCCGGCCTCATCGGGCTCTTCCGTGCAGGGGTCATAGGTGAAGTACACCTGGCAGGCCTCGATCTCCAGAGCGTCCGGGAGGTGGAAGAAGAAATAGCCCTGATTGGTGAAGCAGCTGGTCAGCGAGTGGCCGCTGGTCTCGGCTGGGGACGAGGAGGGCACCTTCTCCTGCTGTAGCAGGAGCAACTGTGTGGCCTTGGCGTCCCTGTCCAGCACCTCCAGCGGGGAGATCTCGGGTGCCGGCGTGTCGGGGCTGAAGGACGACGAGGGGAAGGGAGAGGAGAGCCACTTCTGCCAGGAGAAAGAGCAGCGGGGAGGTGAGTGGGACGCCTCCTCCAGACTCTCAGCCACAACTCCTCTGACTACCGGCTACGCAGGGCGGCCACCTCCAGGAAGGCCTCCCTGACTGCCCGCCCGCCAACTGGCTTGGGGAACGCTCTGGGTCAGCCCAGGGAGTGTGCTTGCTGTAGGCGCCCCGGGGGATGCGTTGTCTCCGCGTGCGCGACTGTCTCTGGGGCACCTGCTGTGAAGCCTGGCGCTGCTCTAGGCACCGGGCACAGGGTAAAATCCTCTGTGTGTCTGGCGGGGGCTGGCACCGGTGTGAGAATCAACCAACCCGTGTTGGAAGCGGAAAGGGCCCTGGAGCACATCTCGTTCACTTCACAGATGTACGGAGAGGGGACGTGCCCCACACAGCCAGTGGCCCCGGGCGCCGTGGAAAAAAAAAACTCTCTGGCGGGGACCTGATGGCCCCGCAATTCTCTCCCTCCCAGTGCCGTGGAGCCGCCACCTCCCGCGCCCTCCATCCACGGAGAGAAGAAAGTGCCCGCCTGAGCCCTTCCCACTTGGCTCTGGGATCCGGAGGGCCCTGGCAAGAGCAGGGAGAACCACGTTCCAGTCCGGGCCCCGGCCCCCTCGCTCACTGTGCGACCCCGGGGGCGGGTCACTGCACCTCTCTGAGCCTCAATTCCACAACAGTGAGCCCCCTCTTTCCCAACTTCCCAGAAGAAGCCGAGGCCAGTCCCGTGACCAGCGCCCGTGTGCCAGGGCCTGGCCGGCCCCCCTCAGAGGTGTGTGTGGTCAGCCACTTCCTGGGCCCAGGGCCTCCGTCCACAGTGCCCTGAAGCGGGGGGGTGGGGGGGGGGAGGGCGCAAGGAGAAGCTTCTCTCCCCCTCTCGCACGCTCACACACTGGCACGCACACTCCCAGATCCCGTGGACAGGGCAGCGGGCCTTGTGGCCCTGTGGCCGGAGGTCCTGGGGTAGAGAGAGAGGAGCGGGCCTCCCACCCCGACACAGAGGAGAGGATGGGGTCCCTCTTGGCCAGCCCCAACCCCCGAGCACATCGTGCCTCCCCAGGGCCTCCTTGGGATACCCTCCCCCTCCACACCCGAGGGCGGGGGGCAGGCACCTAGGCCTGGGGATGCCCTCGTGGGAAGATGGGGTGGTTTGCACCCCTCCGGGAAGGAACTCACTCCCACCCGGAAGGTCCTAGTCCCTTGGAACCTAGATAGTCAGCCAAGGCTTGCATGAATGCCTCTGTTGACGGGGAGCTCACGACCCTTAGGGCTTTAGGAAGAATTTTAAGGAGATGCATTGCTGCACATCAAGAGAACCGTAGGCTAGCGATCCCCAGTCTTGGGAGTTTTCCAAAGAATTCCAGAAGGGGCCCTGATCCCCGGTAACAGAGAACTCCGGCTCTTGATAGCTCGGGCCCAGCATGGCTTCCCGGCCCCTCGGGGCTCCTCCGGATCTCCTTCCACCCCCCCCCCCCCCCCCCCCCCCCCCCCCCGAATCTAGAGAGCCTGGGGAGGGGAGGGTGACAGAAGCAGCCCACCGCATCCCCCACCTCCCTTGACACTTCCTTCCTGAAGCAAGTGTGGGCTCGGGGAGGGGAGGCGACTGAGGTTGAAATGGGGTTCAGAGTGTTACTACTCTCGGGGGCCCACGCTTTAACCGTGAATCTGTGTCTCAAGTGACGAGGTGTGGCTGGAGGACTTGTTAGCACCGGGGACGAGGCAGGGAGCCTGCTCGGGGCTTTGCTCAGGGTCAGTGGAAGCCCTGCGCCCACGAAGAAGGTCTGCGCAAGTGGTGGGGTTGCGAGAATTTGTACCTGGCGAGCCCCACTCGGTGGACAGACTGGGGACAGTAACTCCCGCTAGGGCCCCTCGAGCACTTACTGTGTCCCAGGCAGTGGGTCCATACGCCTGGTAACACTATTTCCCTCCCCTTTTTACAGGCGAGGAAACGGAGCACAGAGAAGTTCTCTAACTTACCAAACATCACACAGCCAACAAGGGGCGGAGCCGGGATTAGAACCCAGTCAGTCTGGCTCGGACGGGAGGTGCCATTCAGCCTGAGAAGGCTGGTGCCAGAGCTGGGGAAAGGGGCCCACCCCCACCCCGGAGGCTATTCCCTTCCTTATTTTGTCTCCTTTCGCAAAGCGCAAACCCACTCACACCTCTGCCCGCTCTCTGGCCAACCCAAGCCGGCCGTGCCTGCTTCTGGCCTCCACCTCCAGAGTCCTACCTGGAAATCTCCTCCATGCACTGACTTCAGCTGGGAGAAGAATTCTGAGGGATCTGGGATGTGACATTTCAGAACCTTCTTCAGCCTGAACAGGAGAGAGGGAGGGAGGGAAGGTGGATGAGAAGGGAAGGGGGCCATGGTGTCCGGCCAGCCCCCCCCCCGGCCCTGAAGGCAGGGTACCGAACCCCTCCACATTCATTCATTTGATCAGTATCAAGGGAATGCCCAGTAAGGGAGGGGACACAAGAATGACAAACAGAGAAGGCCCCCGATCTTAAGAAGAGACAGACACGAACCAAGTGTGCGACATTATCATGCGTTCTATGCAAACAAAAAGCGGCAGACTGTGAAAGAGGAAATGTAGGGCTGGTGGGGGTGTGGGGGGTGGGGGGCACGTGAGCCAGACCGGTCAGGGACCACACACAGCCAGGCGTCTGGAGTAGAGTGAACCAGGAGGAAGGAGGCAGGAGAGAGGCCAGATCGTGGGTCTCCTAGTCCAGGCTGTCATGGATGGTGGTTCAGGTTGTGCACTGCCCAAGGGCACCCGGTTCTAGGAGGGTAGTGAGTGGGGGCCGACTTCCAGCCCGTGCTCGGCCTGCCAAGCAGAATGCCCCAGTATCTGTAGGCACCTGCTTCAAAATGTAGTCAGAGCCCCAAGGCCCCAGAAAGCCTGTCTGCCCCGCGGATGTCGGGTCAGCCCTCTCCTCCACCCCCTTCACGTAGGGTCTCTGCGCACCCGGTTTCTTCTGTTTGGGATGCGCTCCCCAACCCCCTCCACCCTGCCTGCTTAGCTCTTCCTTCAGATTTCAAGGGACCCATCACTTCCTTGGAGAAGCTTCTGCCAGCCACCCCTCAGCCAAGGTTCCTCTCCCTGATGTCTATTTCCAATACATCGAACATCTTCCTTTGCCATCCTCCTCGTGGCGTGTCATTGTACTCGTGTGTGATTAATAAACGTCTGCCTTCTCCCAGGGGTCTGTGGGCTCCAGATTGCATGCGTGTGGCCTCCCCTGCATTCCCAGCACTCCGCCCCAGGCCTGGCACTGAGCTGGGGCTCAAGAAACAAAGAAATACACCAACGCGTGCCCGGACCTAGAGAGACCCGTGAGGACACACGCGCAGACAGCCGGCATGTGCACACACACACACACACACTCAGCTCCTGAGAGTAACGCTCGGGGCAGGGTTGCCATGGGGCTCTCCTTCCTCGGACCCCCTGAGGCCGGTTCCACAGGGTTCCATCTTTGGGGGTGGGTGGCAGGGCAAAGCCAGGTGTTAGGCAGGGGGGACTCTCGGGAGGGCAGAGGGAGCACCAGCGTGTCGGTGCGTGTGTCAGAGGAGAGCACGAAGGAGCAGGAAGGGAGGGCGCTTACCATGGCCCGATGTACCGGCAGTTGGCCAGCAAGTAGACCGAGATGATGAAGCCAAAGACACTGCTGATGCCCATGATGATGCGGCCCAGCCAAGGAAAGGGCACAGCCTCCTTCCCTGGGGCTGCCCGGGGGTGGGAGAAGCAGCGAGAGGGGTTAGAGAAGGGCCCCCATCGCCCAGGTCCCTCCAGCATCCCCCTGCCGCTGCTGGGGCCGAGCCCTGGACCCCGTCCTCAGGCCTCCCCCCGCCAGCTGCCCTCGGACCACACCCTAGCCAGCCCCTCTCCTGCCTGAGCTCTGTGCCACCCCTTCTGCCCACTGGCACCTGCGGGCCTCGTCCTGAAGGCCAGGGGCTGGCTCCAGGGGCTCCAAGCCTCGTTTTTGCCCAGCTGGGGCCTGACCCGCACTTGAAGTTCATACTGGGTGTCTGGAGTGAGGGTCTCCAGGCAAATCCATTGCTGGTTCTGCGCGAGGGTCAGCAGGGAGGCCTCCTGGGGCAGAGACAGGCAGGGGTGGGGGCTGTCAGAGCAGAGGGGTCCCCACAGCCCTCCTCACCTCCCACGGCAGGGCTGCCTGGGAGGCTGAGCAAGGAGCTCCTTCCTTCCTCGCCTCCAGCCTCCATGCCCCCTCACCCAGTCCTACCAGAAGGCTCCCCGACTCCCCAGTGCTGAGGCCCCAACCCCAAGCTCATCCCGAACCCCTCCCTCTCACTCAGCCTCCACACACAAAGCCTGCCGCCCATCAGCTCGTTCCCCCTGCGGAACCTATTCTGGACCCTTCCCCGTCTCTCCTCTCCTTCCCCCATCTCAGGCAGGGGCTGGTCTCCCCGCTCCCACCCAAACTCTGCTGCAGTCTATTTTCCACGCACCCAGAAAGAGGATTTTCCCAGGGACCCCGCCCACCTCTGGATCCCTTGTTGCTCCTCCCCGCTCCCCCCCCCCCCCCCCCCCGCCCTCCGCCAGCCCTCAGACACACAGGGTCTTGTCTTTGCGGTGTCTCTTTCCTCTGCTTGGAAAGCCCTCCCCAAACCTTTGCGGGGTCTGCTCCTCCTTGGCCCTCGGATCCCACAAGCAGCCTTCTGTGGGCACCTGACCTGAGGGCCTGCTCTAGGCCCTCTCAAATGATGTCATCCCGTTTAATTTCCTGGGTAGCACTGATCAACATCTCATAGTCTCCAGGGTCCCGTTTGCAGACAGTCTCCCCGCCCTCCATGTGAGTTTCCTGACCCCGGGGGGGGGGGGGGTGATCTGGTCAGTTTTGTCCTCCACCCTCTTTGC